CCCGATCTTTAATTGCTCCTTCCCCGCCTCCTCCCCCGCCCTCCATGGGCTCCCAATCATTAATTGCCCCGCCGCCACCTCCGCCACCACCTCCGCCGCCGCCACCCTTCTTTTTCTCTGCATAATACTGCACATTTAAAATTATTTATAACTTTTAAAATATCATGAGAATGGTGAACATCACTATGAATTTTTTCCTGACGCAAACATATCGAAATAGCATTGGAGTATACATTTTTTTGCATAAAAACCAGTAAAATTTTGGCTCTGTGTTCTTATTTTTTTTTTTCAATTTCAGGATCAAAATGGTTTTATGTTCTTACTTGTACACACTTTTCAAACGTAGTAAATTATTATAGTAAATTAGGATATTACTGTACTGTATTAGAGGGTAAAAATAATTAATTGTACAATAATCAATTTCATAAATTAGTTCGACCCGAGATGATGTTCGGGCGGGGAATGGATTATAGTTTAGTATGAACATAGAGAAAATGGTATGAATTACATCAATAAAAGAGTAACTGTTGTTAATTTATACGCGTCAAGGGCCCGGACTGTAGCTCTACTCTCGAACCAGGTTCCTTAGATAGTTACGCCACTGATTATCACTATGCATATAAAATACAACCAGACGCAGAATCAGTAAGAGAAATCGCAGACAAACTCCACCGCAACGACAGTTCTACTCAGAGCCATTAACACATGCTGTACCAGATTAATTGATTAATTGTTTTTTATGATTGACAATTGTTTATCATAATTGACAATAAAGCTAGTTTTTCCTCTCTTTTTTTGCATAATAATACGTTAGACATAAATACGTATTTATCTTATCAATGATGAAAGCTCTGGTTTACTCTGGTTGTTTTTCTTTGGTTAAAGTTTTTTTGGTTATTTTGGATCTCGGCCAATATCGAACCATTGTTTCTTTAGCATTGCATTTGAATTACGGGAATACACACCAAGCACCTATATTTTAAGTAGTGCGAGTATTATTAAATTATATTTTACGTGTATTAACAAACTGGAAGTGGCATAGCATATAAGAAACTTGCTGATACTAATAATATCAATAAGCAATAGCATAATATGTTATTAATTATTATTTTAATGAAACTTGTTTGGTCTATATCTTGTAAAAAGGTACCAAACTATGATAGTTATTTGTGGCTCAATACGGTACTGATTTTGGTGATTTACGGTGATGTTTTTTTAAAATTTTATTTATTTATTTTTTTTGTTTGTAATATGGTGATTGATATTTTTTTATGTTTATTATTTTTACAATTATGATTGTTGATATAATTTAATTTTTTTTCGGTTTGGTAACCATGTAGACATAGGCATGTAATTTACTGCATAAGAACTTCACAACCAACCAAGTGGTGGCTCTGTAATCATGGCCTAAGTCGACATCAGGGGGTCCGACATATACGACAGCCGGGTCTAAACCTATCCGACTAGAGCCTCGGCCAGGGAGGGTCCCGGAATATAAATTCCAGTTCATGGCGCGAGTTGAGCTTTTAGACCACAATATTAAGGAATTGGCAAATCGTAGTAACGTTATTTTGATAGGAAAATTCATATTTTTGGTCCGACGACCTGGTCGTGGCATCGTACGGGATCCGGGCCAGGGGCAGAATTTTTTTTATACGCGTGTCGATAGCTAATCAGTAAGACTATCACGTACAAAGATCACGAAGGCAGGTCATGGCCGCCTAGTCCCCCACCCACTTGTGAAAAGTTTAAAAAAAGGAGAAAAAGAAAAAAATGATGGCCCAAAACGCCTCGGATGTTATTTTTGGGAGTATAGAAAACACAATTTCGCGGGAGCATGGCCCCGGACCCCCCAAGGTAGTGTTATCTCGATCAGTCCCACTTTCAGCATCACCGCCCCCTCCCAGCTTCTCCTTCCTCCACTGGCGCCACCACTGAACATGCATGCAAAACCTTTAATGGTACAGTAGGCCTACGGTAAACGGACAATATGTTTCATCGTGGATTGTGTTATTGATATTTAAAATCGAGGTATGCACTTGTTTGGAGGGAAACTCTTTTGCAGCTCACAGTTATACACATCTCTTTGAATTGTTTGAAACTAGGTTGTGCATTAGATGCAATAATGCCACTGTACGGTATGCAACGAACAATCATTCAACTAGTGTTTCATCACTAACGTAAACCATTAGTGACATAACATGTCAAGCGTTGACAAAGACTACAGGAGTAGCCGAAATATTCGCCAAATTAAATTTCAGTCTTTCTAAAGTCAACATCCTACGTATTTGAGTTTCATTACTGTTACGCTATATTACATTCTACATAATGTTTGTCTCTTATACACATCTAGATGTGTATAAGAGACAGGGTTTACTCTGGTTGTTTTTCTTTGGTTAAAGTTTTTTTTGGTTATTTTGGATCTCGGCCAATATCGAACCATTGTTTCTTTAGCATTGCATTTGAATTACGGGAATACACACCAAGCACCTATATTTTAAGTAGTGCGAGTATTATTAAATTATATTTTACGTGTATTAACAAACTGGAAGTGGCATAGCATATAAGAAACTTGCTGATACTAATAATATCAATAAGCAATAGCATAATATGTTATTAACTATTATTTTAATGAAACTTGTTTGGTCTATATCTTGTAAAAAGGTACCAAACTATGATAGTTATTTGTGGCTCAATACGGTACTGATTTTGGTGATTTACGGTGATGTTTTTTTCTTTTTTTT